TGTTAAGAGTTAAATTAAGTAGTCCTTCAATGTTTGGGATCTTCAAAAAGACAAATTTGTTGTTAGAAAGCATGTTGCATTGTGATATTTCCGTGCACAATTGTTTTACCTCTGACAAAATGTCTTTGACGAGTGATTGTTAAGGTGAATTGACTTCGCTGTTTAAAAGTTGAAATTGAATACATTCGGACACCTCTTCTAGAGAGAATACTCGTCGCGGAAGACAAAATCATTCCGGATCGAGAGATAACAGCCAAAACTTGGAATATGTGCTTAGATTTTGGAGCTTTCTCAAATTCTCATGCACATGTAGAAGTATGCATGGGAGCAGACGTGCATGAAATACTTTCAAAGCCAAAAGAGCTACGATTGTAAAGTGGGTCCACAAATTGTAATGTTGAGAATATGTCTTTGGCATGTCCTATCCACATAACACTGTTAGCTTCCATTCGTCCAAAGAATATTTGACCAGTGGGTCCCTAAATGTTTGTGAACTTTGCGTCTTTGTCACACATGGAAACGACCCAACTGTTTCGTGATCTTTGTCTTGCAAGGAAACTTTTCGACTGCAAAAGCTAGAACATGACATGAATGTCGTCTACATCTGAGGACAACGGCTGCATTTTCCTCGTTTCGATGGAATATGGATAGAGTATTGTCGCTATACTCCTAGTTCTTTTCTATTGTCTTTTCCTCCAACCAGACAGGCATTCTACCAAATAACCGATTCCTAGCCCACACAAACTTTGACAATTATGTCTTCAGTAACAGAAACGAAGGCACACACGCAATATTACATATCGGGTGATGTCCTCTCTTTCATCTCTCATCCCACGGACAAGACATCCTTGTCTTCTAAGTTGTGTATCAATTTGTAATTTATATATCGATTGTGTTGGTGAAAGATATGGGTTCTGACTTTCAGAATATATTCACAACACATCTTAAGCAAGATAAAGATTTTCAGCTAGACTCATGTCTCAAAGTCTACTCTGGATGAATTCAAGTGGATTTGCCCTGCAAGTTTTCATCACACCTTTTCAAAGCAGAAGACCTTATATAAGTGTAGCATACAAGTCTCGACGAGTGAAGGGGAAGAATGCTGATCCGAAAAACCGGCAGCTTTTATGCTGGCATGTATTTTGTTCATGTGAACGTATAATGATTAAGCTTTATCAGCATACTACATACCCTAGTGGAGCATCCCTGTAAACTGGAAGCCTTATGTGAACAAGTAAAGAGAAGCCCATAAACTAGAATCAAAATTTACAACCGTAGGCAAGTAGCGGGAGAGTACATTTGGAGTGTGCTATATATTGTAAAGTCCTAGGGAAATGGTCGTACATGGATGTGGCTACTGGAATTCATTGCATGCAACAGCAAGATCTACTTCTTTTGGCTAGGCAGTAGCATTTTCGATCTATAATCAAAATATAAAGTTATAAATTTTAGATAGAAAAAGGTGGCATTTTTGTGTAGAAGGGATTTACTTTCCTATTTTCTGTTGAGCTTTGTGAATTACACTTTCTACGAAGTTGAGATTCCCATTTTTTTCTGCCATCCATTTGGCCCCCTTCAAGATGAATTGAGATTGACAAATAGGAAAATTCAGTTAATTTTTTTTTTGATGGAAAGGTATTTATAAAGCTACGTAAAAGAGAAAACTGAAAATATAAACAATTCTACTATTAATACCATATTCTATCCACGCATTTTTGTCAATTAAGTTAGTGTCATCTATTTTTGATTAATATCCAATCAGGTCGGCTATCATGGTCTTGAAATATAAAGATGTGTGCTGTAAGTTTTTCCGACATAAGAATGAGCACTTTTCAATCTCCACCCATATACGCGAAGGAATTGGTGGATGGACGGATCTCAAACGTTGTGAGAGGACAAATATTCCATCTAGATGAATTGACATTTGCTAGGCTCCATAAGCTGTCCTCATCAGGTCTATAGACATCATTGGTCAAACACATACAAGGCAGCAAAGGCGTGACTTGTGTGAGAGGACCATGTGCACACCAGCAGGACGGCGCGTGATCCTTAGGAATGTGCGATATCTTTATCCATTGTTTTGTCACAGATTCTTCTCATAGTGCAGAGTCAACGTCAAATTTCAGTCTACGTTTTGACGATGTGTATCGTGTGTTTCAAACAGGTATACAGCTTGACAAACTGCAATTTAGATGGTTGGTGAAAGTCAACTTGGCGATGCCATGTGGTTTCTTTCTGAAATTCTATTCTGAATTTGGGCAGCTCCCCAGCTGGAAGCCCTCACATATAATCGCGAACGCTAATACACGCCAAGTGTGTTTGCCTCCTTCGACCTGAAAAACTTCAGGTATTTCAGGGACTTCGTCCTTCCAGGGTCAAGATTTGGTCAAAAGTATCCTCTCGTCTGAGAAGTTTTTCCTAACGCCGATCAATCGCACGAAGGGAAGTCGATTTCGTCTGACAGAAGACTAGCGCAGTAGCCTCAGCTCCAAAAGTCACTCACGATACTCGACGATGACATTCAGTCATTCTAGCGATGTGGATTTCCAAGTGAAAGTAAAAACTTCCACTTCGAAACCTGACCGCATTCTCGAATCTGTATCCTGAAACTCGAGCGCTCGTGGACAAGATTGGGTTGGTCTTTGACAGCCGTTGAATCTACCGATAAGGTCAACGTGCGAGTTGACTCTGATTTTCTGGCGCAGGACTTCGAGGCTTGAAGGACTATGCAGGAGAAAGATTCCGACCTAAACTGTTGAGTTCCGGATATTATGAGCCCATGTGCCTTCGTGGAAGAAATTCTTTGAACAAACTGTCTGCTTTCATTGCGATGGACTGATCTGTTATACACTACAAAGACTACTAGCCTCTAAGTGCAGCGTACAGTTTGTTGCACAATTTCCTGTCTTAGGAGACATACCCTAAGATTTGTGTATGGCTGGTGGGAACGGAAGAACAGTCTTCCCCTAAGCTGCTCAGAGATTCAATGACAAGAATGCTTAAATTTGGTCGCATGGAGGTGTGGTGTGCTTATAAGTAATTTTTTCCACAAAATGCCAGAGATATAAACCAAAGGACCAATCTCTCTGCATGCATTACCAACTTGATCTACTCACTTCTGAAATTACAACCTTTCACTCGCGAAGTGCAACTTCGCGAGTGCTCCCTTGGTCAGAGCAGGTTTACCTGTACTGACCCATGCTACGCTATCCGCATATAATCACAGAGAAGGGACAAACTTCAGTTTGAGCTTACAACTTTAACAGTAAATGTGTACCTAACTCGAAATAAGATGCATGTAATGCTTTATTTCCCGCTCAGACAGCCAATTCAAGTGATTTGTTTGGTAGCAACAGAACAGAGGTTGCATGTCCTGGCTAAAACCTTGTCGTCGTCTTCAGCTTATCCAGGCTTGGAGGGAAAAGTGTCTTTCTCGGAAATGCAGTTCCTCCTCATGAACAAAAAGCAGACAACGTACTTTTAAGGCAGAGTTCATCCAAACGATTATTATTACGAACGATATGTGTGGATTATGATCAGAAGAGAGTTCCATGTCAAAAGTTTCACCACGACAAGCGTGTTTACACGAGCTTCCTAATATCAAAGTTCCTAAATGATGAGAAATGAGTGCACGACAAATAACCATCAATGGGTGATTCCCGGTAGTCCATACCGCAGTCTTAGTTCAAGAATCTCTCCAGTTAGACAAACCTCGAAATAAGCCGTGTACTGCTGGCAGTTCAAGGTTCTAGGAAAGTGTGGCTTAGGATGTTTGGGGAAACTATCTCTAATCTCGAGCATAACTGCATTCTCCTCGTTATGTGCGGAGGTGCCCAAAAATACATGTGCATGTTCTTTCCGCAAAAGTATTAATAGATATACGCGGAATCCCACTTTGAACTTCAGAATTCCGTCCGGGACGATTGAGGGCTAGATAGAGTACCTGCAGCCCGCGGCCCGCAGCTGAGGAAGTCACCCTTCATTGCCTGCTCTGTCGTCTCCAGATTCAAGCCCATGGTAAGAATATTCTTGACGCAGAATGTTCTATCTGATTTTCTCAATGATGTGTCCCAGGTCGGAGTTATGGTAACAGATGATAGTGCTCGGCAAACCGCCCACGAGTTAAACAGGTAAAAAAGTTACAGGGTTCAACAATCTGTTCACTGGCCCACAGCGAGTAGACCCTCTAACTTTTCTGCAATGAATGCTTATGATCTCCGGGCTTTGATTTGGAAGCCAGGCTCAGCGTGTAACAGCTGAGGGCACAAGTAACTTCCAAAAAACCGTCTTGAGAAGACAGTGTCTTGAATAGAAGAATTGAACCTGAACTACAGAAGAATTGTGATGGCTTCAACCGGAAACATCCTATCCCGAGTGCTTTAAAACAACTTGGTAAAGAGATTCTCCACTTTTGTGTTGACACCCCTCGGTTTTCAGACACGCAGTGAGAGACTCAAGCGAATATCAAGAGAACACAAACAATCATACCCGTAGTGATACTATTCCATCTGAGCATAGACTTGACAGACCTTCAGAGGAATGGCAGCAACTGGACTCTGGAGATTGCAAGAAGGAGATAATGCTAGTTATGGTGGAAGTGTCGGGGAACATCCTTCCCCGGCAATTTGAGGCTCAAGATTAAGACGACCGATGATGCGTAAAAGTGGAATATGGCAATTGATTTGGAAGAGCTGGCAGCTGAAATGGCCTGGTTCAAATCTCTCGTTGCCCGTCTGTAACATCGCAGGGGCAAATCTGACGACTTCTCTCCGATATTGTCCCCATTCTGCTTTAATTCAGCATTAAGTGTCAATAGTGGAAGAGTCAGAAGACAAACACCTTGTGCACCTTGACGGATCAGGAGCTATTAATAATGGCTCGTCGAGCTTTCGAGCACTGATGCCGTCTAGAGGGGGAAAGAGAGGGAGGTTCTGACTGCGACTTGAGACTGGAGTCCGAAGCTTTTCGCAGAACTGTACAATGGACGATATCACTGGATGCTAGAAGAGGCTCGTGAAGAATCGGTCTTCTTCATTCAGTGAAGCTGTCAGGACCCTATTGTCCCCCACAGTGAGCCCAGCTAGCCCATCCGAAAGGCCCATGAGTTCGGCAAGCTCTGTAGTAGGTACCTCATCCTCCGAAAGTAGTGGAGAAATGCTCGTCTTCAGAGGCTAGCAAGCACGAGCTCATCAGAGTTATGGTGTTTGAGCTCAGAACAATAACTTTCGCCTCCTGCACCCATAGCCCTGAGCATACACCTAGAGGGCCTTACTGAGACTGAGAACAGTACTACCGCATTGACCTGTGTCGTCGTGGAGACAGCCGTCGGGTCTCGAGCTCCGAAGCTCGCACCACATGGGCTCGGCCTCGGACGAGCCGGTGCGGGAGGACACCGGCCGCAAAACTTGGGGGCGCAATGGACCGCGTACAAATGCCAGGAGGCAATGGCGGAAGTAGTTCGGGGTTCAGAGCAGCCCATGGACTGAATTATGGCCAAATAATGAAAATGAACCGAACGAGACCTCCGATAGTTCCATGCTGATTGTCTCGCAACTGTGGTGACCAACCCTTCCCATGCTGCGATCACCCCGCTGTTGATACCCACCTACCGGCATCAGGGACAGGGTGGCAAGTCAGGCCGTGCGGGGGCCCGGAATTTATTTCTCTGCCGTGAGCCATAACTCCAGTTTATTACTCCCCCTCGCCGTGTCCTTTCCGCCTTCACGACTCTTACCACCCCCATCGGAACCTCGGGCCAAAATGGCCCCGATACTCCAATTTAGAGGAGCCCCTGTGACGACGCATCGGCCTGCTGCCAATGGCACTGGGCCTGATTTGGTGATCCGCCTCCCTCCCTCCTCCAGATTGGGTTCTAGTCTGAGCCTGCGATTCCGTCGTGTTAAAATAGAGGGGCTCACGCGGGGTGGTCTGGCCAATGGGGTGCCGTGGCGGGGCTGAAGCTATGGAGCTCGGTAGTGGGGAACAAGCAGCTCCTCCGCCTCCAGAGCACCGAGTCGTGTAAATTCTTCTTGACACCTGAAGACACGAGAGCTCGAGCCAATTGACATCGGAGAGGGAAAGCAAAGCTCAGGCCGTTGGCCTCGGTCCACGACAGTTGTTTTAGTTAAATCTTTTGTCCCATTACTGGAGATGAAAGTGGCGATCTCCAACATCTCCGCTACGACTCCGGTGCAGTGATCGCCAGCGCTTTCCGCTCGATCTGAGCCCCCGCAGCTCAAGGCAGCTGGTCAGGCCTGCCCTTTTGCTGGGTTCTTAAGCTCGAGCTTGACGTCCCAATCGTCAGACACTCAGAGCTTTCGAGCTCTACCAGGGGACCAACAGTCGAAGCTGTCCGGCGCAGTCAGCTCAGACTTCACTCCTGCTGGACTCCGAAGCTTCAACTGAATTCTCCAGCTTCCTGGATCTCAGGGGTCACATCTCCAGCTGACCTCGTACGCTCATCTCCTCATTGACGCCCCGTTCTGTCACAGTGACCACCTCGATCAGCTGATAGTACCGTAAAGCTCAAAAACAGTGTCATTTCCTCGGTAAGTAGTTCACAGCATACCCGATAGTAGTTTGTTATGAACGATATAACTGGTTCGGAGCAATGTAGTGTCTATGAGCTTCTAATTTGATAGACAAACACTGATAGTTCTGCGGCAGGCGAGTTGCCTCTAAGGATTGACACTCATAGTTGAGGTTGGGTTACACACAATGGCAGTGATCCTCGGCCAAGTGAAGTAGGTTCATAACATGCTAACTCTCAGTTCTGACTTGGGAAGAAAGTATTCGCAGCAGGGCTCCTCGAAGCGTAGTTCAGGATTTCTTCACATCTGGTTAGACGTCAGCTAACTATTTGAGAGTCAACATAGCTCTGGGCGGCAAAACAATTCCTGTCAATCTTCTCTCAATTTCGAAAATGAAAGTCTTAGGCTTTGGGGAATTCCTTGTCACAAGTGATTCAAATGAAAATGGTATCATTTTGTAAATGCTGATTCCGGTAGATGATCGAGTGTTTGAGACTCCGTGTGTCTGTACCTGTGGCAGATTGGCCCGCAAAAACCTTCAACATGGTTTCAAGGAAATCGTCACCGGTTTTTTTCACTTTTGCTCTCTTCTTGCTAGCTGAATTGGCCCACTGTCAAACGAGGGCACCTCCAGCCCAGTTCGTCTTTGGAGACTCGCTTGTTGACCAAGGAAACAACAACAACCTGGCCTCTCTTGCGAAGGCTAACTTTAGGCCAAATGGAATCGATTTGCCATTGTCGAATTTCCAACCTACAGGACGATTCTCCAATGGTCGCATCATATCCGATCTCATGAGTAAGTACCTCTGAACCAGCGAATCAGTAGCCAGTTAGTTGGGAAGCTCATACTACAAATTCCTAGGAATATATCGTTCACATCGCGAATAGTTAAGTGAGGGCCTGAGCAACTTGAGCTGTAATCTGTTACAGGTGAAGACATGGGTGTAGAACCAATCCTTGCCTACAACGATAGAAATGCCCATGGCACAAACCTTGTGAGGGGTTGCAACTTTGCCTCCGCCGGCTCAGGAATTCTTGACGACACTGGCAACATCTTCGTAAGTTTTTATTCTGGGCATTTTCAGCATACACGGCGGGAGCTGTTCCAAGTTCACAATTTGTTCATAAGCAGTCAGCCGAGTGGGTTTTTGTTGTACTAAGGCTGTCACGTGTTCGGTTTCAGATCCAACACATAACCATTCCTCAGCAGCTCAAGTATTTCCAGGACGTGAAAGCAGAACTCGTCTCTTTGTTGGGACCAGCTGCCACTGACGAACTAGTCGCGTCTGCAATTCACTCTGTTACCATTGGAGGCAACGACTTCATCAACAACTACGCGCTCGTTGGCTCACAACGCGCTCGCCAGTACCCCGACTTTAATGTCTACAGCGACCTGTTGATCGACACCTTCAGGGGACAAATCACTGTGAGTCTCAAGCTTCTCTAAGCATTCACTTGCAGTTAAATCACTCATGTACTGTCTCGCGTCCACATCAAATAGAAATGGACACTCCAATTCAACAATAAGGGGCTGGCGTTTGCAGGAGCTGTACAATCTCGGAGCCAGGAAGATATCGATATCCAACATCGGTCCCCTGGGCTGCATTCCCAGCCAGCTCGCGCAAGGAAGCCGCACTGGAGAGTGCGTCAAGACTCTGAATGACTACGCTATTAGCTTTAACGTTCGACTGGCTCCCATGATCGCCGCCCTCGAAAAGCAGCTGCCCGGATCTACGCTCATTATCGCTGACTCTTACAAAATTGTTATGGACTACGTCATGGATCCTGGTGCATACGGTAAGTTTGTGGTGACATGCATAACGTTCTCAGGGCTGTTTGGAATTGTGCTGCTCCTGCCTCTGTTATGCTATCGAGAGTAGACTTCGTAGTTTTTCTTCTGGACGGTTTCACTTACATGCGTCCACACGCTTTCACAGGATTCAAGACGTCGAACGTAGCATGCTGCGGAACTGGTAGGTTCAATGGGAACATCCCATGCACTGCGCTGACTCAGGTGTGCGCCAACCGCGATGAGTACTTGTTCTGGGATCCGTTTCACCCCACGGATAGGGCCAACCAGCTCGTTGCTGCTCGATTGCTCAACGGTCCCACATCCGATATCTTCCCGATTAATGTCAGACAGCTGATTGCATTGTAAGATGCACAAAGTAGATCAAATTCTCGACTCATGTAATTTTACGGAGAGTCTACAAATTTCGTAGACCAATTACTGATTATTTTATAAATGTCATGACAATTGATATACAAATTCTCGGAATAAATCTCAATTCATTACTCCCTGAAAACTGAGCGTCGCTTCTGAATAATGTATGTGCTGCAATGGCTACTTGGCTACTCCTCGCTTGATGGCGGTTAGAGTTCGGCAGCAGGCAGCTACCATGAACGACGACGCGTGGTAACTGCATTATTCTGAACTTTGTAATCACTCGTGCCTCTTTCGCTGTCAAGTGTGAGCAATACATGCTCATTATGTTTTGGCAGTCGGGTACATATAACGATTATATGGTCAGTAGTATAGACGCGCAGGTATCTGGCAGAAAGGTGTAGCCACGTGGATGAGATCAAGCTCTCGACCACTGGAAAAAATCAGGTGAAAGTCATCATGGGTTCAAGTCCTCTGTGCAGGAGTGGATACTAGATTTCATTCGTAGCTATGTTGGAGTACACTTTCCACTACTGAAAACATAAATCTCAAGTCGCGTTGGCTCAACATCCCGTTTTGCCAACGTCATGTGTAAAATCCGACATGCAGCATGTCTGATTGAAATGCGCCGCAGACCTCTGCGTGGATGTTATGGAAAAATGTGCGTGTTTGAAACGGTATCTACTTGAGTTCAGGGAATTTCAACATGCAAGTCGACACATCACTGCTGGTGTGCTGAGACTGCTTACTGACAGCGTTGACGGTACTGTCTATTTTCAAACAGTCCACAATCTAGTCGAGTGGAATTCGAGTACGAAGACGACTCAAATGGCCTGTGTACAACCTCAGGGCACACCTGATCTACTTCAGCATACAGGCAACAAAATTAACTCTGCTAACATCAGCTGACTTGAACGAAGAGACACAAGGCCGCAGAACCCCTCGGTTCATGAGAAGGATCTTGCGAAGTACACCGACGAACTCCCGAGCTGCCAAAACTTCAGCGTTCTGAGAGGTATGGAGAGGACTGTGGCCCGATCGTCGATCAGGTCGACATCCACGACCTCATCAATGGTTATCGAAGGCACACTTGCCGAGTTGCGCACACATGAGCTGTAAATCTGACACCTCTCGCGATTGACAGTGCCCGTGCGAGGCTGGGCTGATGCTGCTGCTCTGGCGTTTGCACGCTCCTAGATCTGGTTTTATCACATGGTGGCCGCAGGGTACTCTCGTGAAGTTCAGAACGTCGTACAGAAATCAATGCTTCCCAGACCCAGAAGACTTACAGCAATAGTGGAGTGGGCAGTAAGGTCTACTTTAGACCGAACTCGTCAATCATATCTTGGGATCATAGTCACTGTATACGCTGTCATTACCATTCGAATTTTTTTTTCTCTCAGAGGCCAAAATCTATAGTGTATAGTTCAGGACGCTATTAACGAACGATCATTGCGGTATTAAGTGGATTATCTCCTCCATTCTGTTCATGTGACATAAGCCTTGCCAATCATAATCTGATTGTTTCGTGTACTGCCCCTCGGTATTCGTGGATGGAAGTATGTTGCAAGGAGAGTATGGAAAGTGTATAAGGTATTCCTTTGGTTTCTTCTGTACGGTAATACCTGTCGCAGACACATCCGATGCTTGACCTTGTCGAGGTATGTAAGAAATTTCGTGGCAATATCCCCCATCAATCGCGCGTGTTACCGTGTGTATGCGGTCTCAAGCTCATTGCGTGATACCTTATTGAGAGCCCTTATTATACATATATCCGCAACAGTAGCCGTGGCAGACGGCAGCTACAAAGTTACCACGTGCCTTTTCTGTGGGTATCCTGTTACTACAGTCTGTAAGTCGAATGTACTCGGACATATATTCTAAAATTATAGGCTGTAGCTTCCTTCCACTCGGAGAGGCAGCGAGCTTCGGTCCTAGAAATGATTATCTGCAGTCATTAATAGTAATCATCGCCGTGATTATAGTCTGACTTCCAAACTCAGACAATCTCTCGTTTTCGTCTTTACGAGAATGACCGAGATTTCTCTGAACTATTTACGTCGCCTATTCCCTTCTATTTCAACAGAAGAAGGAGAAGAGTGGAGGAACCACTTAAACCAAGTTTCGTTAATACGGTCCTATACTCCGACCATAACTTGTCGCTTGTCTGCGTGACATCGAAGGTTGGGAGACGACATTGCAGGTCTGGTAATCGGCTGAAACATTTTGGACATGAGAGAACGAGCAGTGAATCATGTTGTACAACTCTGATACACAATCTCTGGCAACCTCGTCTCTCAATGTCTATAATCCGTCCCCGATCATTATAATACTTTCAATTCGAGGTTCCGAATCGTTGAAGTTTTCAGCGTCGTCGGCGAGATGGCACAGTCCCGCAATAGTTACGTGGAGATCAATCATCTGTGCAAAGTTGAAGCACATCTTCGAATCCACGAATTTTCCACATATTGGGTCGACAACTGAGAAGTGTGACAATCGGGGAGGGGTTAGAAGCGGATTGTGCTCATTCTCATTATACACTGCGCGGCACATATGATGGATGCGGAGCGAAAGAGTGACAAAAAGTCGGTGATTTCTTACCGGTCATCATGTAGCTTCAGTACGTGCATTCCCTTCACGCTGTTGTCCGTCTCAAAAGTTATCGTGCACTCTCCTTTTCTGGTGGTGTGATGAGTGCACAAGCTGTACGGTGCTCGTTGCTGCAAAAAGGTGAAGCTGAGCTCCAACAAGCTGACTCCCACCACGCAGTTGTTGCAACAGTTTAATCTCTTTTGTACTTGGACGAGAAGTGCAACAAACAGCAGAGAACGGGATTCTGTTCATTCCAGTCGAATCTTGTCAGAATCAGCAGGTCTGATGTAGACCCTTGCAGACATCAGTATCAAGATCTTGAGATTTACAACTTCCTGTTCCTGACACACAGTTCTTCAGTCTCTTAAACCGACCTTTCGGCATCTCTCACGTCTTCAATAGGAGTTGACTCAGTCGAGCTCGATCATGATATACAGTTTTATCCATTGAGCTTTCTTGGACTCGTGTTGGCTTCTATCCTAATCTCTCTCTCTCTCAACCGTCTACAGCTGGCACAGTCCCTGTCAAGTGCAGTGTACTGAATTGCTGTTTCACGCTTTCCTTGTCCACCTTAACTGTCACCTCTTCCTACCCTGTCCAGAAAGCGCTGAATTAAGAAGGAATTGCCCTCAAAATTCATTTTCACTCAATTGCAATGCTGAGTACCAAAAATGAGTTTGGAACCCAATCGTAAGACTTCATCCGAGCTCTAGCGACGGTCTTCGAGAAATTGGAAGTCGGTATTTGCAAGACCCTACTCGTCTGATCCTCGGCTAGCGGACTAAAGCCGGGGCCGAGTCGGTGCCCATTTATTCAGTGTCTTTCCAAAACAGCAATCCACTGATCGATGATGTACCACGTTGCAGTCGATGAGATGGATCCGTGCTTTCACTCTATGACCATCGGCCGGTTTTACGTCTTGACTACCACGCTTGGCATCAAGACATGCAACGTTGTAGAAGCCTGGAATTCCGTCGCTCGGACTAAAACACGAAAGCTCTGGTGAAACTTTTCATGGACTGTTTGTTGAGCAAGCTAGGCCGCTGCTTGTGCTGCAGAGTAAACACCATTTGATCTTCGTGTTCTCTCGGAAAATCGGCCGACATCTCAGAGCAACGCTACTTTTTCACAACTGCGATGTTGATATGAGGCGTCACCGTAAACTTTTTCAATATTAATCGGTGCTCTTTGGCTTCGATTCGTGAAATGCCGATCATACCAGAGTCTCGCAGTCTCTAACGAACGGGCCCACAGAGTAGGGCCGAGTCCCCATTGACTTTTTTACCACCGCCTCCAAATGATTGTTTGTATTAATGAGTTGCGAAACACACCCGTAACCCGTAACACTCTGCCAACACATTAGAGGGACTCTGTATCAGGGTTTGACGAGATGGTCCCGCTAAATTTACAGCTCCGTTGCGTGGGCTCAGGTATAGATGGGTTACATCAGGACTCATAAATTCTGGCAATGCCTGGTTTGCAAGAATTACTTAAATTCTGGCAAACTTTTAGCCTTGGGATTTCTTGGATGAACACTTCCAGTTCACTAATTTTCTTACAATTGCTTGGGGATCATAGTTTTGAGAGTTTCTAATTGCTTCCTCATGTATAAATACCTGCCAAAGAATGGCACTGCAGTCGTCTTCCTCCCATTTGATTTTAGAGAAGTTTCAACCAACTTCATATTTGGAAATTCCCTCTCCGTCCCATTACACACTTGACGAAAATGCATGAAGCTTCTCTTCGCGCTTGTGGAATATCTTCTTCACATGCGCGTGAGTAGGTGTTTGCTTTGCGCCTAGTCGATCATGTTACTGCATCCATGCTCACCGAGTTGCACAAGATATTGATCCACCACATTATTGATAAACATGGCAAGATTCATCTTGACTAAATCCACTAGCATCATCGGTAGCTTTTCCAAATCATTGGCATTGCTGTTGGAATCACACTCAGCCTTGATCTACAACCGTTTGCCAAAATGGAAAGCAAGAAGTTGCCGATCTTCTTCAATGCTTGTTGTTGTTCATTCTAGAAAAGCTTGTTGTACAAATACAATGCTCACAAACCTTAGTTGCAGATGTGCGTGACTATAAAATCTTTTATGACAAACAAACCATCTTGCTAGGCGATAATAGGAAAATCAATTTTTTTCAGCACAAAATCTTTGATGGAACAAATGTCAAATTTGACCGCAATGTCTGCCATCAGCTTTAACAACTATGGGCGCTGCTGATAAATGACCACCTTTGAAGACTACAACAAGGAGATATTGATGGGAATTTGCTAAAAAATGACGATATATCTTATACAATGACCCATTATTGCGTGGACGACATTTGAACATGTCATTTGTCTTTCACATAAATCATCAACCCACAAAGATATTCTATGAGCCATGATAGAATACTATCAAACACAATTTATCACGTTGTGTATTTATAGCATTGAAATCCATTTTGTTAATGATTTTTGCTAAGCTTGAAGATGCACAAAGAACGCGTGGAAAATCTTGAAGAATGTCTTGTCCAACACTCCATGCATGACATTTTTTATTGCAATATTGAGCTGGTGAACAACGACCAAAAAACATAAAATTGGAACATTGCTTTAGCAATGTGACAACTTTGAACACAACGATAGATAATATTATTCTATCCATCCAAATTGATTGATATAACATTGTGTTACAAAGATGAAGACAATCTATCAATCAAAGTCTTGAGGAGACAGAAGTAATTTTAAGTAGTATGTCGTTTGAAAAATAATAGGAGCATGACATGAAAGTTAAACAACACGCATCTCATGCACACACAAATCTACTAATCGAGTATAGTAGCTCCTAGATGAGTATTTGCATAAGTAGCTAGG